ATCGTAAATATACATTAAATATTTAATTTATCTTTTAATAATATTTTGAATAAAGCTTTATATCACATATGTACAAAATATTTATACATTTAAAAAAATGAATAACGATAAATATTTAGCATAAATATTCTGTGCTGTCTGGGTACTCTCGATTACAATCGTGAAAATTTTCCTCAGGATCTTTTTAGACAAGAATTGGAATATTTTTCAGAAATCTACATCTTTTCTTCTAATTTTTCATATAGGTGAACTCTGAAATATTTTCAGATTCTATAATATCTGGAAAAATACTTTTAACTTTTTCAGATTCTTGGTAAAAAAATTCTCATATATTTTTATGCAGGGTGCTCGACGAGAGACTTTTGTCAAACATTTTTTGTAAGATAGAGCGGATTAAATTGAGACGAAAAGTCCAGCATTTTTCAATTTTTGCAATGGTTAACAAGACTTTTTATTTTTTAATAATTATTAAAAATTGCTGAATATTGGCGAATTCCAATAATTTTTTACTCAAATACTATAATTAACTTGACAGAAAAATAGCAAGAAATAAATTTTTATTTTCTTCTTATAAAGTTCTGAGAATTTTTTCAGAATTTTTAAATACCATATTGGTAAAAATAGTTGCCAATATACTTAAGTATATGAGAAAATGTGGCACTAAAATGTTGATAAAAAATTTTGAAAAAATTTTTACAATTCTATGAGGAGAAAATAAACAATTTTTGTCTTTTGCTGTTTTTGTTGATAGTATTTGAATAGAAAATTATTGAAGACCAATATTCGGCAATTTTTAGTAATTTATAATATCTCGTCGTTAATTATTGCGAAAATTGCAAAATAATAAAGGACTTTTCGACTCAGTTTAGTCCAGTCTATCTACAAAAAGCGTTTGGCAGAAATCTCGTCAGACACCTTATAAGAATTTATCTTTTTTTTTAATTTATAAAGTTTTCTATAGGTTTCTGAAGAAAACCTTAAAAACTTTATATTTAATTACTTTCCTAAATTAATATTAAGATATTAATATTAATTTATCTTGAATTAATTAATTGCAAATAAATAAACTTAGATAGAATACAAAGATATTACAGTATAAAATAACATAATGGAATTTTTTTGATAGACAGCTGACTTGAATTTCGCGCGAATTAAAATCGATTCAATTGAATTTTTAATTCCAATATACAACTTCCAATGTTTTTAATTCTTATTAATTAATTATCATTTAAATAAAATTTAATTTACATAACACAGCGTTTTATATATATATATATATAT